GATAGGGTGTACAATTCTTTTTTAGTTTTAGTCTGGGGTAGGGTATGTAAAATCAACGTTTTAGGTCTGGGATAGGGTCAGGGTTTTGCGGTCCTCGCGGGACCCCCCCCCCCAAGTTGGGGGGGGGGGACCCCCCCCCCCCCCCCCCCCCCGGGTGCATTAGTCAGAGGCAACGCATTGGCAGTGCACGTCACTCTTGCTTCCCAAGATGGTTATGCTTCCACTGAATCCAACTGGAATTTTGAAAGTTGATTTTCATGAAGGGAGGTAAACTGGAGAACCCAGAGTAAAGTTATTTGCTGCAGGCTGCACAGGAGTAAAAACTAGCAAGCAACTCTAATCTCTTGTCACACAAAGCTCAGCATTATTGATTCTGGGTTTGCACTGGTGATAGTCAAAGGTTCTGACAGAAGCTTCCTATAAATCATGTTTCATGACGGCTTTTTGATGTAATCAGTTTGGTTAGTCTTTTATTTAAATATTTAATGATTTTTCTTGAATTATATTAATCAGGTTTCGGAGAAGACAACAGAAGAAGAATTTGTGGTGCAACAATGGAAGGAATCAAGTGATTACTGTGAGTTTATCTAATGTTACTCATGAAAGAGAAAAAGTTTAAAGTGCCTATCACCCTTCTGACAATATTCACAGTATTGATTCTACATGGGGTAAGATGTGGAAAAGCCCGAAAAAATTTCATAGTTTGAGTGTGGCTTCTTGAAGTTATAAAGGATTTTCCATGCCATATGCTAATATTGTGACGTATGAGGAGTAATCATTTAATATACAAAACCTTACTGGCGCAGATAAATTAAATTTGRAATACGTCATTGTTTTGCCCATTGCTCTTATAGAAATTATTGCAAGCTATTTTTCACATAGAAGCCGGTTTTTCGAATTACAAGGAACAACAAATAACCATAAATGCCTCCTCATACGTCACCGCATTAGCATATGGTATGGAAAAACCTTCATAACTACAAGAAGCTGCACTCAAACTATGAATTTTTTTCAGGTTTTTCGACATCTTACCCCATGTAGAATCAATACTGTAAATATTGTCAGAAGGGCGATAGGCACTTTAAGAATAAAATATATCATAAAATGGCAGGTGGAACTGATAAATATGAGAGTATATTAACAGTAGAATATGTGATCTTGATGAGTGAGAGGAAGAATTGGATGGGATGAAGTGACGTGTGTGAAATGTTTTTCAACATTTAGCTAAAAGAATTAGCCTTAGTCTTTACCAGTATTTTGTGACATTTTTAAAATTTTTAGCTGAAAGAAGTCTTCAAAATTGTGAACATCACCCAAAATATGTTAAGGAAGACATGGAACAGGATAAAGAGAATTTAGAATTTAGTTCTAATCTTTCAATCGCTGATGCAGGTATGTTGGACGGCATGTTAGGAGGTCTACAGTATTCAATATTGGACCAATGCTTTTATTGAACCCTGAAACAACCTCCATGTTGATCAATGTCATTGGACCCTACCCTTCTCAGCAGCTGTTTTTCATATCATATACGAAAAATTGCTGTTGAAGAGGTAGGGGAAAAAAGTTTAGAGAAATTGGAGAAAAATCCTTGAATGGAGTCAGAGAAACCCAACAAAATCTACTCACATGTGAAAGTCGAGGAATTGAACCTGAGTCCACGGAGGTGATAGGCAAATGAACTTGCCACTACCCCACCCTATATTTCTGTGAATACTTCAAGGGATATTTTGTTTATTTGTTTATTTATTTCTGTGAAGGGATCTTTTGTTTTATTTAGTTTCATTATCAAGTTTGAGCTTATCTAGTTCAGATTTTATCTTACAGTATATTTATTTTATTTAATTGTCAGGTTCTACTAAGCTTATTTAGTTTGGATTTTTTTCTTACGTATTTTTTTCCAGATTCCGAGCAAGAAAAGCCTATATCAAGAAAGTCCCTGAAGAAATTTTTAGCCATTACAGAAGACGAGTTTCATAATGTGTCAACACTGGTGAAAGGAAGAGTAAAACTTGATGCTGTCAATAAGGTTTTAAATTTTCCTGTTTTTTTTCCCTTCCAGACCTCAACTGTTCCCTTCCAGACCTCAACTGTTCCCTTCCAGACCTCAACTGTTCCCTTTTCTTCTTTCTGTTAATTTCTTCCTTGCTTCATTCTTTCTTTCCTTCTCAGAAAGACGTCATTCTTCTCCACTTTTTTATTGGCAAGGGAATTTTTTCTTTTAAGTTGCCAATTTTTATTTTTATTTCTTTCAATTTTTAAACAAATGTTTTCTAAAGTTTCTGCATAATTTATTATTATGCTAAAGTCACTGAGGTAATTATATTTTTCTCTTCTCTAAATTTACTGCTTAGGTCCATGAAGCCCTTTTCAATTATTTCAAGACAAATAAGAAAAGGTACGATCAAAGATTGTTAACTAATCTTATTAATATTAAAAGCAATTTTAAAGATGTTCTTTCTATCTAGCTCTCCATTGACTGTGTCGGATATGATGGAGATGGGTCTTAAGATCACAGGAGCAACTGGACAAGCTAAACTCAAGGTAAAAATTTTACAAAACAGGGCTAAAAATAATAGCTGGTCAGTCGACAGTCGTGATGACTGGCCAAAATAGTTGTAGCTCAGCCATACCTTGTTTCTAGTTCAATGTTACTGCTCAAAATGACTGGGGAAAAAAAGATTTGACCAAACATGTTCTAGTTCAATAGAAGCTTTGCATCATAAAGTGATGGCAGCCATGACAGGAACAATTAAATCTGGTTGAATCTTATTTACATAATAAAGAATTCAGTTTCCCAGGTGAAAAAGACTATTGTTGTGCCTCCTGTTATGGCTGCCATCACGTGATTGCCCAAAGCATCTTCCATTTTAGGGGCCTTCATTCATTAGTGCATGTTGGGGGTCTGAAAAACTGTAGTGGGATTATGTTTTAAGAAAGTGGTTAGGGGGGTTATCACATATTGAGGAGGGTTGAGAACTATTGGAGGATGATGAGGGGGGGGGGGGGGGTTTGAGTTATGTTCGTTAAGCTTTTCACATGATTTTGCCAACACCCCTCCCATGTGCTAATAAATGAAAGCTCCCTTATTTTTCTCTGACTTACAGGTGCTAAGATCTTTGAAGATTATACAAATCACAAACAAAGGAGCTGTCAAGTGGCAAAGTTGATTTTTTGTTGGATTTTTTAATGTTAACTTTCTTTACAATAAAATATTGATTACTTAATAGTAAATAAAATTAATTAATAATTAATTAGCAAATGAAATGCACCCTGTCAGAAACCTTCATTATTAGATTGCATGGCCAGCCCTGGGGGAATTGGTGCCTGGGAAGTGAATTCAGCCATCCAGGGCCAACTACACAGGCTAATAGATTGGTGCTTTGCTTAATTCTCGTGAACCCATGTCTGCTCTCCAAAGCTTTTTAAATAAATATCAAACCTTTTTGAACTTCTTCATTAATATTTTGTCATCCCTTGTCAGCAATCATGATGTTTGTCTTGAATTGCATAAAGGTTTTGAAAAATAATTCATTCCCCCTCCCCCTGTTGTTAAATCTTTATTTGCAGGTGTCTCCTTTTCTTCTTTCCTTGTGTTTAGTATCCCTGTGGTTATCTACTGACCATAGGAAGCCCATCAAAGACTCCAGATTATGTTGTTCTTAATGTGCAAGCTTAACAAAATGCAACACTTTGGGAAATCTTTTCAAAAATCTAGCTATTTGGAATGAAATGCCCATGCAATGCCCAAATTTGAATTCTGAGTGTTACTCCTGGATAGTTACTCCTATTATTTTTGTCCACTCTCAAAGATTGTCATTCTTTATTGCAAGGGCTAAATAGCCAATGGCAGCTTTTGAAATTCTAGGGTTTTACAGAGTTTCTGGCATTTTTGTCTGACATGCAAAGCAAAAATGAAAGGGCTATTGAATCAAGAGTGGAAGCACCTGAACAGAAAGAATGATGCAAACACTACAATTTTTTTAAGGAYCTGTGTTCTGGTCACTCTGGCCACCATTTTGGAACATAAGGGTGAATCTCTACATCATTGCCCTCATTGTCTTTAACATAATGCTTGTTATTATTGAGCATTGCAATCCTCATTACTGCCAAGCCACACCCTTTATACACTACACACAGCTTCCCTGATGTCTTACCAGATGATGTCTTAATAGCCATGTCTTGTTCTAGCTTGATAACTTCTTCTACTGGAGCAAACTTGAAAGGCATGACTCGTTTTCTTATCACTCCTGTATGGTGAGTTCTCGCTGTTAGCTCTTGTCCAATGTAACAGCCTTTTTGAAATGACACTGAAATGAATTGAAAAAACATTAGTTTACTTTAGAGAATGGTTATTTTTCCTTCTTCATTTTCTATACAACAGGTAAACCAACCATCTCGGTCAGTTTGCCAAATGGATTCTCTAATCCACGTAAGCATAGACCTTTCTGAGATTGTGAACATGGTCTAGCTTCAGTACAAACATCTTTTGTTCAACATGCCTTATATTGTGTCGTTCGAACCCAAGCTAGACTAAAATGCATCCTATTTATGGAACTCAGAAAAGAACGAGCATGTCAGCATACTTGGAAAACTTATATTAGCTGAAAGAACTATCAACATAAAACATTTCCTCTAGCATTATTCCCTCTGGGATTATAGTTATTACCTCCATTGATGTAATCCAAGTTATACTCAAGAGGAAGAGCTGTTCCTGGCTGTATTTCGCTAGCTCCTTCACAGACACCCAGCTTAACTCTGTAGATATCATAGCTGCTCTCATTGACCCCATGAATACCATCCAACAAGTCTGAAGGCTTGCACCCCCCTGTCAGCAGTAACCTCCAACCTAGCTCCTTTATTCTCGGGTCTCGTCCAAAACTTATCAAATTAGAATCCATTTTTACGTCTAAATTAGTAGTATCTGAAGACTTTTCATTAAATATTACCCAAGGTACAATATCTGCTACGCGAGAAATGTCAACTTTTGAGCGAAGTTTGTAGAATGTCATCAACTTCAACAAGCCGGGAAGGGTATTTTTGTCACATTCCACGAGAAAACACGGGTTCCCAGAGTTTGTTTTATCCTTGTATAGCATTGCATCGTATAGAACTCGCCCCTGGGCGTTCAAGAACATACTGTACATTGTTTTGAGAGAGCCGTCTTGGTGGAAAAGTTCCACACTATTAGTCACAAGTCCTTGAAGAAGTCTTACAGAGTCTGCACCATGGACGCGAATTAAACTCCTTTTTTCAAGTTGGCAATATTTGAGACTATCCCCAGATAGGTTATGAGCAGTTCTTCTGAAGAAAAGCTGATGATTTACTCTCGTAAATCGTGGTAAATTTGCAATGTTAAATTTTACACCCCGCGCCGCCATTTTGAATTTTACTCAACCTCATAACACAGGAACCCCAACTATTTATCTTCATTTTGAAGAATTTTATTTACTGAATGAAGAAACTTGGAAATATAATTTAAAATTTTAACAAAAATATTGATTGCATTAATTTGAACATTAATCTAATAAAATCTCTTATTTTGCTACGAAGAAGAACAATTTTTAAAAAATAATTAAAATTAATATTTTCTGAGATTATTTACAATTATTCATTTAATATTTGAAATGTTGCATGCTTTCAAAGTAATAATTTGGTATTCATAGTAACCTTATTGCCTTATGCATGATTTACAATAAATGATTAATCCAAAACAGTTGTGATAATAGCCAGATCCTCTCATCTTCACATTTAAATTGCCCTTCTATTTCGCTTGATGTCTTTACCATTCCTGATCACATTTCCTAAAATACTGTTTCAAATGCTTATTATCATATCCTTCTATAATATTTCTTTTAAGTATGGCTTGTTTTCGAGATGATGGTATAATGGGAACAAAGGACATTATTTCTGCTAGTGACGTCAGCCATAATTTTGAACTCACCAATCTTCCATGTTTTTTATAAATATTTTTTGCAAACTCAGTAGTTGCAAACTGCACGCACTGAATTTTGATTTTTCACTTCTGTCAATCAAAAATAATAGTTGGTACCTTTTAAATTTTGACTGCTGGCAGCGAAAAACCATAATCCAATGGGCAACTTGCACCTATTGAGTTTGCATAATTATTTTGAAAATAGCAATAATGCATTTTAAATCTGACGTTTAGATCAAGTGGCTATGACAAGTACTGTTTTATTTCACTGAAAGAGGACTGATTGTTCTCATCTTATTGAAAGAGGACTGATTGTGGAGAAAGGAGAAGGTGTTGAATTTAGTGGTGAAAGAGTAAATAGCTGAAAGAGAGAAAAAAGAAACAATAAATAACGTTCAAATAGATTTCTCGTTCAGTTTTGAATTATGTAATTTGGTTATCAGTGTATCTTATTTTTCTATTTAAGTTAAAAGAGTTTTAAAATTATTGTTCATCGAAATGATACCAACCAGGGATGCTAATTTTGAAGTCTAATCCCCCCAAGTTTTAGTCTTATTGAATTTCACTTAAATTTGGGTTATTTTACCTTCTTTTTTCTTCTTGTTGGAGGTGAATCATCAGGAGAGATAGAAGCATTAGCAAGCTGAAATCATGCGAATTAAGCTTTATGATTAGAAAAGCAATTAAAAGTAATGAATTAAAGTAGATATTTATTATTGGTATAATTATTAACTTATTATCAATTATAATAAACTACCAAGTATAGATTTGTAGTTACAGTATTTTTTTTATTATGATGGGAGTCCTGAAAATATCAAAGAAATCTCAAACTATATATATTATGTAACAGATGTTAAACATATAAATAAAATAATACCTTAAATTTCTTCTGGAGAGCCCTGGTCATAATAGGTGTCAGTCCAGTACCTGTGTCTTGTACAGTCCTGTCTAATGGGGTGCCGCCAGGGCTTCTCTTTATGTTCACCTTCCGGAGGCTGCTGCGCAAAGTCAACATGTTCCCTGGAGATCTAACAATCCATAACAATGCTTAAACCCTTCCAGAAGAACCCAGTATATAAGTGGTGGACAGATAACTATGGGATATAAGTATAATTACTTTTATCATATATTCATAAATTAAATCCTTACTTAAATGTGAATTCGTCCTTGTCTACAGCCTTTTTCTTAAGCTTTATTGCCTGTAAATCCTTCAGCGTCACCAATGGTTTGCCATCCATTTTCTTTGCACTCATACTCGTTCTGTCATCATTGGAAATTTCCCTCAAAGGTTTTCTTGACAAATCTGGCTTTTCTTGAGGTGTTCTACATTTAGCACTGTTTTTCCTGTCAGAAATTTTCCTTAGCTTTATTGACTTGATGTCATCCAGAGATATAACCTGGGATTTTTCAATTTCTTTTGTGTTAGAGCTGGATTTTATGGCATTTATTTTCTGTTAAAAAGAACAATCAATAAATTGCAAAATTACTAAACAGCTACCATTATAAGTTTTCCATCAACACTTGAAGCAATGATGAATGACAAGCTGAGGTATGATGGCAAGTAGGGAGGACTAAACATTTATTGGGTGTTACATACTTCACAATCTTGTTGAGAGGAGGGTTTATGACTTACTTGATTCTTATTCAGTGGAAGAACAAAAGTTGGTGGTGGGGGAGGAGGTGGTGGCAGTGGTGGTGCTGGTGGAAGGGGAATGTGTGTTGTATTTGGCACCAATGTTTTGCAAGTTCCTTCACCACTTTGGCAATTTTGACATTGAACCTATAATAAAGAAAAAATAATAAATTTAGACGAAATTTCAAAATTAATTAATAGTTAATTTAATAATTATGATCTAAACGAGATAGAATTACTGAATTGCTTACAAGATTTGTTTAGCCCAAATACATATTAAATTATTGTGTAACAAACCTGGGAATTTGATAGGGTCTTTATTTTCTTGATTTCCATCTCAAGGTCGCTGATTCTATCATTCAGCTCATCGAACTTTCTCTTGAATGTTTGACAAGGGAACATAAATGCAGTGGTCTGCTTCAATTTCTATAAACAAATTAACAATTTGATTGAAATCAATGGAATCTGTTGAAAAACCCTTGAATTAAGACTGAAAGGCTAAACTAAATGAATGTTTATTGGAATAAATGTTTTCAGTTAAAAATATATTTTTTTATATGTGCAATATTGAGGGTGACTAGGCACCCACCCCATCAGCACTGAAACTGCCCCTGCCACTATGTTACCTTGCGAATGAAGCAGCTATGGTTTGCGCAGCCAATAGCTTGTGACCGTCAAGCCAATGGGTGATCATATATACATATCATACCCATATCCCCTCCCATACAAAGAAAAGGACAAATAATTCTTCTGCCTTCACTGCAGCCATATGGATTATATAACAAATGGCATCTTAAGTAGGCCTTGCCCTCCCCACCCCTTGGGAATCCAACCTCCTGTGTTTGTTGGGGGGGGGGGGGGGTTGGATATTTTTTCTATGTCTGTTCCCTTATAACGTTATGAATTTATGACAAACGCTTGGGAACCAGATATTTGAATTTTTTTGTCTTAGTTACTGAGATTCCAAACTCATTTAAGCAAGGCCCTTTAAGCAACTTAAATAATTTTGCCAAACGGTCGTTGTGGCCTTTGGCCCTGGGCGTTCTATGGCCAACGATAAATAAATATTATAAATTTCATCAATTAAACGATATGTTTACAAACAAACCTCTTTGCAAAATTCGATGCCTCGGAAGCTGTTTTTTACTCCTTCATTGAGTGAATCTCTAAAAACATCAATGCTATTGCATGTTTTTTCAACACAATACCGTACACAATGAGCTCCATTCCTCACAGCATTAGACGCCATTTTCACTCCAGGAATGTTCACTAAATTCAATCGAAAAATCCTCCATTTTCGTGCTTGACTTAAATCATATACTTCTTTTTGTTCTATAGTATCGTTTCCAAGGCGTGAGATTAATCCGATGTCAAGAAAAAAGCTTAAAAAATTTCTTTTCTTAGATGGTTCAACGCGAAGACGAGAGACTGCAGTTGTATCACGAGATAAACTTTTAGGACAAGAAACTCGACTTTTGCCCTTGAGTTTTTTGCGATGTGATGTCGTATGCAGTAGCCAGTTCTCCTTAGCTTTCAGCTGAGTGTATTTTACTTTCTTAACCATGGTAGTATTGTTTTAGATCTCGTTCATCATCAGATTCACTCGCTGCGAAATATGAACTGCATACAATTTTCGAAAACACCACCGTATTCTTTTCAACCAATCAGGAACCAGGTTAAATCTTTACTAGCCATCCCCTCCTCTAGATAAATTTTTACCCCTGACTGGAGTACCCACGAGGATACAGCCAATAGGGGAAAAAACTATTTTAAATGAGATTTCTTTTTTCTCAAGTTTATTATGAGAACAAAATTCTTTTAGATTTTGGTCTAACAATTATTTTTAAACTTTGAATTTCGAAAAGAAAGTATTTTTTAGCTTATCAAACTTTTCATGTTGGTCTGCCTGTGGTAAGGGTTGATTTAAGTCGAGAGGCACACTTGATACTTCAACCTCATCGTATATTTTAAATTCAAGAGATTTTTGTATATGATAGGCTTTTTTTAAATTAATATTTCTTTTATCTAATCTATTCATGAATATGAATGACTCATTGATGAATGATCTCCAAAATATCAATTTTCACTAATTATAAATAAAGTTTTCTGAGATTTCTGGCTAGGAATTAGTTTCTCTTAAAATTTATCTGTCACAGAATTCTTTGTCATTATTATTACTGTTTCATCTTTTTTTCTTTATTTTTCTTCGCTACTCTTTAATCTTCTTTTCATGAGGGGGAAATTTTTCTTTATTTTTTCTCTTCTCTTCCCTTTTCCTTTCCTTTCCTTCTCTCTTCTCTCTTCTCTTCTATTTACTTTTTTCGTTTCTACTTTTTCTTGTCTTCTAAATTCTACTTCTTCAAAAAAATGTTGAACCTTTCCCAATCCCTTATCAAAAGTAATGCTGAGGCAGTCTGGGGTGAGACAGTGATAGATCATTCATGCAAAGCTTTTGACCGCACAGACGAAAATCTGTCACGCAAAGAATCTTTAATTCCCAACCATATAAAAAGGCCAGAAAATTCCAATCTTATTCTAACTTGGAAGAAATTTGTTCTTGCACAAAGCCTTTTACAAAGCGTGACTAAACGTCACACAACAACAGTCACATAATATTATCAACTTTCCACGTGATTTTGGGTTACCAAATTTTACCAATGCGTCTTTTTCCAAAATTAGCAATGGCTGCCACAATAAGAAAACTTGTCAGCACTTCTAAAGCTCCTGGAGCTATTGGAGCTTACAGGTATTTATTCGAAACCTTAAACCTTAGAACAATCCATAGAGTTCTTACAATATTAGCTGGAATACTAAGAATATTGAACGTCAACTTTAAACTGCTCTTAGCTTATGAAATATTTGGTTTTTGTGGGATGAAAGTTGGATGAATATCAAATTTAGTTTATAACGTTCAAAACAGGTTAAAAATATGAATTTTTAGAAAGCTAAATTTAGAAGTAAGGCTCTTGGTAGTGGAAATGTTCATAAAGAAAACGAAATACATGGTCTTCGGAACAAGTAACGCAGATAAGGTCACGAAGTGTAAGCTTACAAGGGTGACACGTTTTGCTTCTTGTTCAAACGTTGCACCAAAGATGGCTACCGTACGTAAAATTGTCGATACTCCAAAAGGTATCCGTCCGCTTCCTGGAGTCTACAGGTATATGGAGTTTCGATTTAAGCCGTTCTGCTGTATGTTAGTAACTAATGGGGTGCGTAGAAGGTAGAACATATAAAAAAGAGAGCTATAAACTCGAGCACTTTATGACTTGGCGCCGTGAGGAGAGTGCAGTCAAGCATGAGTCTCGTCTGCTTGCTTTGCTCTTACTCCGTGGACAGAACGCATTTTTTTTTACTTCAATATCGACGATGGGTCCTCTTTTATAAGGATTTTCGTTTTTTTGTTGTAATGCTTTTTACACCCTAGGCTAGCTTCATGCACAAGTCTTTGTACAATAGTCACGTTTGTTTGGATGAGTGTAGATTTCTTTAACAAACTGAGACTCTCAAGTAACTTTCCTTTTGCATCAATCAAAAAGAAAGCAAGCCTTGACCATCCAATCATGATGCTTGGATTTATTGCTGGAAGGTGTGTGTGTGTGGGGTGGGGAGGGGGGGGTAAACTTGTGGTCCTCTGTGTAATGTCTCTAAATGAGATGGTTCTGCAATTTTACATGATCTTTTGAACCACCATGCCGAGGCAACTAGGTGGCAGTCTTAACCCTATGCTATTCCCCAAAATATTTTAATTATGAAGCAAATTGGTTGACATCTGTCATTGAAATCATTGTCTTACAGCCAAGCTGTCATCGCAGACAAGACGATGTACATCTCAGGTCAGCTTGGAATGGACCCAAAGGTAACAAAATTTTAAAGAGAGTGGAAAAAATGTTTATCTGCCTCTCAAGATTGAGTAAGCCATAGGGACGACTGGGAGAAAAAAATTAGTTACCGTTGCTATGTCCCACAAGCTTAATAAATTATCTAGAATATCTCAGAATTTGAAACTCTGATCGTAAAAAATTGATTATAAATTGTTTCAATAGACCAGATTTACTATCCTTTTTAAAACAGATACTGTGTAGTTGTTTGTGGGATAAGATTTCAATTCCACTGGGAAAAACTGCTGCAAAGGGTTCACTATTGTCTGAGGACATTAATTTTGATAATAGTTCTTATAATGATAATATAATAATAGTGCAGTTTTCGTATGACTGTGAAAAGTTCACAGCACGAACACGGTTGTGACACAGCCAGGGATACGACAGACAAATCACATTGCTCGAGAATTTACTCTCCATCCAATCAAATACCCGGAACATGGCATAAACACGGCTCGGACACGGTCACATCAAGATCACGGCACTTTTAGACCAATCATATTGCGGGTGAAAAAAATCAGCCAATTAAAATTCTAGAAAGTATCATGGTCACAGCACATCATGCTTACGGCACTGAGCTTTTCACAGTCATACGAAAACTTCACTAATAATAAATAATGCTTAGTATTGTATTTCATTTTTACTCATTATAGACTATGGAGCTGGTGTCTGATGATGCTGCTAGCCAAGCAAAACAGGTATGGTACTACGATAGTCCTCGATAACCAGAATTGAATGAGTATACCATTTAAAAAAAATTTCAAAGATTCAGTTTACCAAGAGAGTCCTTATAAAAAGGGTGAGGAGGGTCTGAGGAGAGTATTGTGAAATAGTGAAAGTGATGATGATTTTTTATGTGTAGGCTCTAACGAACATGGGGCACATTCTTGAAGCTGGTGGCTCTGCTTTTAATAAAGGTATGGTTAATAAAAATAAAACTTGTGTAACAATTTTTGCTGTCACCCCACCCTTAAGGAGAAATAGTTTTTGGCTTACTTGGAACTAATGCTTCGTCTTTTTTCAGTTGTTAAAACTACTGTATTGCTGGGTAACATCAACGACTTTCAAGCTGTCAATGAAGTGTATAAAACTTGTGAGTATATTTTGATCAAAGTTTTTCAAATTTGCTTTATTTATTGCTTAGATTAGATGCCAAAATAGGTGAGAAACCTAACTTCTAAATAGGCCGTTTGCAGAGAAACCTGCTAACTCCCATGTTCTGTGCTTTTAGTTTTCACTGAGAAGCAACCAGCAAGAGCTGCCTACCAAGTTGCAAATCTGCCAAAGGTGCGTGTTGGGGCTGAGAAGGAGAAATTTTGATGTAACACTTCCTTTTGATACTTATTATATCTTACCTAAAACTGTTATTCAAAATGGTGAATAATCAACTGTGAGTCAGTAACAAACTTCCATGTGATTGCACCTGCGCCCCTAATTCTGCATTCTAGTGCCATGCTATCTTAACTCTTATAACCACACTAACCAACTGTGAGTCATTCATCCTCGCAAAAATAAACACAGTTAGATACACGAAATCAATGTCCATGTGATTGCACCTGCCCTCCTAGCCCTGCATTCTAGTGCCATGCTATCTTAACTCTTATACCCATTCTAACCAATTACTGTGAGTTATTCATCCTTGCTCAGATACACAGGGTTATACAAGATATCCATAGGTTGAGGCACTAGCAACCCTACTAGACATTCTACCCCCTGCTCCAATATATGATATATCTTAAGCCCATAAATACAGAAACATAAAGAAACATATATACAGAAATATATTTTATTTGTTTCCAAAGGTGGCTAATCTGTCAGGAAACATTGGAAAACAAGTATAACATTGTTTCCATTGTGGCACAGGAACATGAAATGTTTCTGCCATACTGCAGAAACATTTGGTTTCTTGGAAGCAATATTTGTTACACATAGCTTTGAGCATGGCTAAACTGGGAAACGTACTGGGAACAGGGACACAGTAAACATATTTTTGGAAACATGCTTCCTTGTTTAGCCAGGGTTTTATACACAATCTAGCCATCACACATGTGGTAGTTTCTAAATATCATAACATTTCTGTTTTCTTGTTTTTCTAGGGAGGAAAAGTAGAAATCGAGGCCATTGCCATAGTTGGAGAGGTAAAGGATGAATAAGAGATCCATTCTCCTGGGTTTTTTGATACATTTGTAGCAGTATTTTACCTTAAACTATAACACAAATAAGACTCAAATAAAGATTTGATCCTATTCTTTACATCAATTTGTTTATTTTATTTTATGAGGCAATAGACTTTTAACATTAAGCTTTATTGCCAGCCTAAATACTAGATAATAATTTATTTAACACCAGATCATTGTTGGTAGGGTGTTGCCTAACAGCATACCATTAGCCTACGACACCCATCCCACCATTGTCATACTGATGCCTTACTGGCTCTGATTTTGGGGTGGAATTCTAATGTATTATCATTTTACTAGTGTGTGCACTTAGTTCCCATGATATGTATCGTCAACTCATCAAATCTTCAAAACTGTCCTTCAAAACTGTTGTGTGGAACTAAGATTACTTGAATTACTACTATGGTTTTTTGACATACTTTGTAATAGAAAGGATAGTGACTCAGAGATTAATTGAAATTGTAGGAAACATATGATCACTTCATAAGCTAAACGGTTTTCAAAAGAAGCCAGATGTCCAATTCGTAAACTTGACTCCGACGAAAGACTAACGTCCGAAACGTCAGTCTATTATCTTTTGTACCTACGGTGATAAAATTATCTACTACAACACATTTGTTTCAACTAAAAAACACCGACGCAGTCCAAGCTAGTTCCAAAACTAGTCGTTATCTACCTTTTTGCTTAGCATATTTCAGGATCCATAATCAAGAACTCATAATTCGTTACTTTCATTGATTCATTATCACAGACCGGTGATTAGTTTTAGAGAAATTATATATAGTTGATATCTTCAATTAGCCAGGGGTGTAGTGAGGTCTTGGTCATAAAATAGACGGGGGAGGGGGAGATGGGAATTTACTATGCCACTGCTCCAACCAAGGAAAATGCAAGGAGAGGAATGTGTGTGTACAATAATGCCCAGAAAAATTATTACAGAGATCCAAATATGATTTTCAGAAAAACAACACTAAAGAGAGAAAAACAGCCAATTAGAGAGAGAGAGAGAGAGAAAAGAGATAGAGAAAAGATGAAAACAAGCAAAAAAAATGTAAAACAAATAAACAAAAACGATGGCGAATTAACAAAGAGTTTTTCTGATGCCAGTGCATTTTTTTTCTGTCATTGATATTGTGTAGGTTCAAGAATATGTACCACCAAGAGAAAAGAAGTTAAGTAGATTATGACACTGTTGTGCATTAGTGTCCTGTACCCTTGTAAGGGCATAGAATATAAACAGATATGATATTAGATTGAAAACAATATTTTTTCTAAATCCTGAATAAAAGGAGAGAAGAGAGAAAATAGATGGATGAACATTTCTGAATATTTAGGCATATCATCCTTAGCCTCACTTTCATGCAGCTCATTAATTATCAACAAAGTTCTATTAGAATTGAACCTTTACGGCATCAATTATTACCATGAACCTGATTGCTGGGTTTCACTTGACACCGCTTCCTTTTTTCGTGTGGAAACCCCATCAGCTTAAACACAAGTTGTCAATATTTTTTTTTGGCTGTAGCACGATGGTCAGTGTTTGACCACCATTTGGAGCAGATGATGAAATTCAAAGACTTCTATCAGCTGGGTAAAATCCAGGAATTGATGTTGCAATTCTCTACATCCCCATAATGCCTTGCATCTTTGGGGGGTAACCAATCAAAAACCTGTCCCAAATTAAAAGGTTTCTTAATTGAATTTATACTATACCTGCTTTTATCTGTACAATACTGATTATCAGTTTATTCCAAGTTATTTTTGCGTGTACAGATCATCAAGAGTTTTGGTCTTACAGAAAATGTATTGACTTATGAAAAAATGTTTAAAATTTACCTTAAACGTCTTCAAGCTTCTATCTTTTTCCGTTTTTTACTTCATTTTATTTTTGGATACCAAACGAGGTATTGTCAACATTGTCTGATCAGCCTTCAGCAAAATAAGCGTGTTTTTACCCTCTGGTTACCCCACAAAGACGCAAAGTATTATGGGGATGTGAAAGTAGAGAATGAGCCTGTTTTAATATTTTTTTGCATAGCTGCATGGACACGAGGCTGATGCTGCCATGCATAAATATTAGAAAAAATGCATCACGTGAGTAGAGCAAACACAATGTCATCTGTTTTTGAACTTTATTAGCAATTATATTTCAAGAATTCATTAGGTTTTTTCATATTGGATAATTTTAGATTTAAATTCATTGATAATCAACATTTCTTAATTTTTTTTCTGTACATTGACAAATATATAAAATTATAGATAATTCAGATTAGTTCTTTCTAATAAGATTGATAAACTTAACATTTGCTTATTTCCAATGACATACATGAACATTAGATCAGCATAGCTGAAACTCTGAAATGGCTTCTCATTCGAAGCTTAAAGTAAAATATAAAACTAACAACGATCTTTTATCAGTTATTTTTCACTTGGTAAAACAGAAAAATGATTAGCATAGCTGGAAAGAATATGTTAAGATTAGAAAAAATGAAAAGTTTGAAGGAAAAACGTCGCAAAGATATGATTTTTGAAAAGTGTGAGTTTCGTATGAAAATATCTTTTGCCTAACAACGAATGCTTTCGCACGAAATTCCGATTTTTAAAATTTCATATCTTTACGAGTTTTCAACTTACTTTAAATTTCATCGTTTTACTGATTTTAACCTGCTCTTTCCACCTATGATAATTAATTTTCTGTTTACCAATTTAAAATAACTGATAAAAGATTATTAATGTTCAGTGGCCGAGTCTCAATGAAGCACTTCATTGGCTTCTCGTTGGTATTTAGAACACTGAAGTGGCTTCTAGAAAATGAAAACACTGTATAAAAGAAAAGTTGGCTTTCGGATAGTATTTCCCCACTATTCTCTCTTCTTATCCTTTCATCCTTTTCTACCAACAACTGTGTTAGTTGTTTTTCTGGTGCACGTTTTAAAAATTTACAAGGGATATATCTGTTCGTAGAAAATAATATCAAATTTTACTAAAGATAGGCCTTTTTAGTGATATTTAGTCCCCTCGACACTCTTTCTATCACCTCTTTCTTCTTGTGTAAAAGTAATACTAAATTATATTCAAAGAAATATTAAATCGAGTTCAGATCTAGCTACAAAGAATTTTAAGTGAATCGTGAATCGAGCTTGATTCTGTATCGACAAATTGAGAACTGAACACACGTGATCTTTGAAGGTTGGAAACATAGTGTTTTCTAGATGCGATATATGGAGCACAAAGTGTGTAGTGTATCATCCCAAAAAAGGCGTCTATCGCTATACTATTGCCGGTATTTGTTCAAAGATAGTACTATTAACCGACCAAGGAGAAAAAGCGCTCAAGGTTGCGCGCTAAACCTGTACAAATGAGTCTGTGGTCTTCAAAAACAGCAGTATGCATCGAATGCGAAACTTGACTATAAAGTTGCGCGCGTAGAAATAGATGATTTAGTCAAAATCATTTCATATCTACAGAAAAATCCGTTCTCTGCTCTTAGCTTTCTGTCGTTTCATTTTCTGGTTTTACTTCTTCAGTTCCTTCTGAAGGTTTTTCTTCCTCATTCGTTTTTTCGGCAGCTTCATCATCTTGCTTCTCTTCGCTCAATGCTTCTGGTTTTTCCTCTTGTGGCTTTTCCTCTTCATTTTTAACCTCTTCTGGTTTGCCTTCCTCTTGTTTCACCTCTGCTTCCTCTGCTTTGTCTGTGGTTTCTGTTTTTTCATTTTCTACTTCATTTTCTTCCTTATTTGGCGCAGTTTCTTCCGCCGGTTTTGGAGTATCAACTCCAGCGGTTTCCACTTCTGGCTGCTTAGTTTCCTCTACAGGTTTTTCTTCTTCTTTTGGAGGTTCTGATACCTCAGTTTGAGTTCCTTCGGCATTTTCCACAGTTGCTGGAGTTTCTTCTGGTTTTTCTTCCTCTTTGGCAGGTTCCTCTTTGATTGGTTCCTGGTGAACGTCTTTCGATTCCTCACCCAATGGTTCTTCTCTTGATTCTGGTTCTGTATCCTTTGTTCCTCCGTCTACTGCATCGACACTAGTAGAAGGCTGCTCTGCTGTAAAATGAATTAAAATTTTTAAAAAGTTCAGTCCCCTCAAAAACTACAAAACTCAAAGTTGAAGATAAACGAATTTTTTCCCTCTCGCGCTCGCAACGAAATTTTAGATTTTTGATTGCTTTGCCAGTTCAAGAGGAAATTACAGTGTATATCTTCAGCAGTTCGCAATTACCAGTGGATGCACCGTCCTGGGACGACAAAAAAGTTGCAGGAAATTACTAGTAAAAAACTCCTTTCTGCAAAATTTTGAAAGTGTGCGAATAAACTTGACAAGAACAAACTGAAATGAAAATTAGTTTGAAAGAGAGAAAAATTGCAACGGGTATCGGCAAATAAAGTGACACTAAAATGGCTTTCGTAGGTAATGGCGGAGTACGACCAGCCACCACTTTTCGAAATTGGAACTTGAACACTGAGCTAATGAACTGGGATTGCTTCGTTAGGCTATCATTCCATAAATAATACCTACTTATCTGAAAGTAAATTCCCCGGCGGTGATTAGTTATTGATTTCATAGGAGTGTTTCATTAAAAATTGAAGAAAAATAATTGCTCGCGAACAAGTGACTGAAACAGCAGTTGTTTTTGTTCAATCAGAAGGTGAAATATTCTGTCGCGATATGAAAATAAAACCCCCCAAAAAGAAGCCAGAAATGGAAAAAAGAAAAAAAATAGAACCGAGTGCGAAGTGAATTTTTAATTTTTCTCATCGTCATGGTCCTGTACGTAAACAGTACAAAGATTAATTCTCTCGCTTTCATTTGTTACTTTTGTGGACTTTTCCTAAGTGTTTTTCGGCCAACCAAAAATATGACTCTAAAAAACAAACAAAACTGTACTTATGTGCCAAAGATGACCTAAAATGTGACGTCTATTTAACTTACTATGACACTTACTATGAGAACGACTCACCGATATGAAAACCCTCCAGCTTGTTTTTCAGGGGTTTTTTTGCCAAAAAAAAACAACAAACGATCAGCAATTGAAGGCTGATAAACAATGGAAATTTTAGAGGAAGTAGAAGAAAAAAAGGTCAAAATTGAAAGCCGTCTTTCTTCTTTATGTTCGACAGTGTGTTGGTTTTCATTCTCGCAGTGACAGAATCGAAATAGAAGACAAAGAAGTTGACTTAAGCGATTTTAAAAGAAAATTTCGTTATACTTGTTTGAAGTGCGGTTTTCAAATTTAGACCAACTTCTCAATTAGTTTTTGTAAAAAATGTCGATTACTTTGGAAACAGTGTATTGCTAGACTGATTATTTTTAGGTGGTTATCATCGTTAATAATTTAGTTTTTTTCGTCTATTTGTCATAATTGATTTTTTATCTATCCGTTTTTTAATCATGAAGGTTCATTCATTTATCGAAGTTTTTACTTATTTTCTTCTGCCAGTTTTATTCTCTTGGTCAGTTAGTCGAATAACGAGTCAATTTTATTCCTCTTTTATTTATACTGTATTTGTTAATATTCATTCACTCATTTATGATCATGTTTTCCTCGTTCATTTATTCAAAAAGCATCCAGCTGATCTAAAAAAAATGTTAGCGAATAAGAAGCAAGAAAATTTGCAAAGCAGAGGTGTTATTTCTGCGTCACTTTTTCATATCAGCTGCATTTTATTTTCTCTCTGCCTGATTCCTGATATGAAGTGAGACTTTCACGGTACTCACTTGTTTACATAAACTTGTCAAGATTAACATTTTCGTTCATTAGCCGACTCCTATTCACTATCTCTGATTCATTCTCTCGTTCAATTGTTCCGATTTGTTTTCCGTTTCGCCTTCCAAGTTTTCTTTCGCCATTATTTCAGTGTTCTTTTTGGTCTTGTTTTTCTCGTGATTAGTTTCAACGAAAACGTTTACCAAAGTAATGATTCAAAATGTTCTATATTTTATTCTTCTTCTTCTGGAATTTATCGCAAACTAGCAAGATGTAAACTAAGAAAAATTAAAAGAAACAAATAATAAAATAATAACTGCACATAAACGAAAGAATTAATCACCAAGACGGAACAAAAACACAGTCCCAAAAAACAAAACGAAACAAAAACAAACAAAAAAACAAAAACAAAAAACAAACAAAAAAAAAACAACAACAAAAAAACAACAACAAAAAACCAACAAAACAAAAAAACAAAAAAAGGCGGCAGAGAAACAAACAAACAAACAAAAAAAAAAAAAACCGGACAAGTAGATAAAAAGACAAAAAGTAGACATTTTTTTCGGTGAATTTAGCCAAAGTTCAAACCTGCTCCAAAGATCTTTCTTTATTATTTAAACTAATAAACAAACTTTATTGGCTCTTTGGTATGTTAACAATTCTCGGGAAATGTCAAAGCTCTGGCAATGTAACGTACTAAAAAATATATTAGCAAAATGCAAAAATTTCGCGATATACTTATTCAAACCTGGAAATTTTTACAAAAAATTTCATTGAATTTTTTAAAAAGACCTTCCAAAAAATATCTGTTAAAGTTAGATCGCATCGATCTCTTAGCAACTACCCTGAGACCTAAGTACAAGGACTTTTATTTGGACAAATATCAAATTGCAATGAAACTAGAATAAATTTAAAATGTTCTATTGATTTAAGAAAAGGATTGAAGACAGCTTTTTCGTTTATATTCTTGATTTATATTCATGAATGATATATTTTTTACCTTTAGTTTCTGTCTCGCGCGCATCAGAACTGGTATCGCTTCGTTTATCAGTTTTTTATTTGCAATTTTTTTAGCACAATTCATTCAATAGTGCTTGTATTTTGACTTATATTTAAGTTTGAGTTATTTTGACTGCTGAATCGAAGCATGTATTGTTTTATTAGTAACATTTTACGAGCTGTAAACAAAAAAAAGTAAAACGGTGTCATAGCGTTCGTCGGACAAATTTTGGATATTAAAAAGACGCTTGGGAATTGAGATCTGACAAGACAAAAAAACCATCAATTTAGAATTTATCAGCAAATTAAAAAGCGAGATTTTAATTCGTAATTATACGACTCGCGCCTACCCAGATTACCCTTGAGTAATCTTCATCGACACAGTTGGGATGAAAATCCAATTTTGTCATCTTGGAAAGAAATCGAATACCGGCTTCGAAGATAAAGCTGCTAGCTATAAATATGTCCAAAAAATGTACTTTGGCAACACGGAGCGCGTTAACTCTACCGCCTTATAGAAGCAAAAGAACAAGATATTGAAGCTTATAGTTGACTGTTTGTTTTTTTGTACTATTCATCTAAATCGTAATCTAAGTAGTACTGAATCACCCGCGAACTGGGGAACAATAACGACGAAAGTTGATACGTTAATTACTGAGAAGCATCGTAGAGAAGCCCTCAGGGAACTCTCAAACTTCATTCACAAACAGCTTCGTAACTGGTGATAATTAGTTACATAGCAATTTCAAAAATGAGGTATATGTGGAGTATATTACCTGGTTTGGCCGGCTCCTCAGGAGGACTACTGGCCGTTAATGGTTGGACTTGATTGTCTTGTTTAGGGTTGACATCAGCAGGAGCTGGATCGTTCTTCGGTGAAGAATTGACAGCGTTTGCGGTTTGTACTGGCGGAGACTGTGCTATCGTCCTGGACTGACTGCTTGCAGTGCATCCCATGGTATTTAACTACGCTATGACCGTTAGAGAATACTCGTAGATGATCGCTTTGATTATACGTTTAATTCGCTTAGGAGGACTCGAAGTCTTGGTGTTCAGGACTCGGCGACCGAGGGATTTAGTGTCATGTGTTCCACTGTTTCCTGCACAGCCCGCCTTTGACCTTAGTGTTTGTTACTGTTTATAGCCGTTGCTAGGCCACCAATGTCATTTCGATCACTTTGATGTAGACCCAAGTAATTATTGCCTATTCAGGTGTCAATAGCATCAAGGAAAATACGCTAAGTGGGCTATAAGCAGCGAAGAGCAGCAAAGAGTTTTTATGGATTCACTTAGCCGGATCATTTTAGCTATAAATGATTTCAAAGTGGTGACCCCAGTAAACCCTAATACCTTCTCCAGTAACAGCTATCGTGATAACTGAATATCTAGAAAACCACATAATTATTCTTTTATTTATCATGTCATTTGTCAGTTTACCAGTGTTTTTTTAACACAAGACAAATAAACGTTGTCTAGAGCATTAACTAGGTCCTTGACGTCATTCTAGAATCCCCTGTCTCGCCCGAGGGAGAATGGAAGTGGGTTGAGACTGAAAGAACGCGTTGCTAGGACACGTCACGTCCAACTAGGACAGAACATTTGCACTAAAACTAGCGCAGATGTTGTATTTTTAAGTAAATACTTCGAATTCTAATTTTACTGAGAACATAGCAAAATATAACTAGAAATAGGTGGATAACAAAATATCCACTCGTCATCAATAAAAACTTAATTGGGAAATGAAGGCTTAGTAAAATGAAAGGATGAATCATGAAATAGCCGGAATCCCTCATCATTTGGGATGAATTTCGTTTTTTCTGTTGATTATTAGCGTCTAGTGTTCCACTGATACTTATGTTTTACGACTGGAGTAACTTGTGCTGACCCGTGCGTCTATCAATCAGTTATAAATACATTTTCGATCATCCTTTTCGTTTAGACTAATTGCTTTAAGATCTTTATCCATTTTCGCCTCTTTACGAGCCCTTTTCTCCACTTAATTAAAGCAATAGCAGGTTTTTTCCGTGCTTTGTTGGTTTAACTCAAGAATGAAAAGCTTTGAAAGCATCACCACTTGTACTGCGCACGTAGAGTTGTATTTTTAGAGTATAGCTTTTGAAATTCGCGATTGGATCTGGACTGATACCATTTCTCGTCAGTTTTGTTCACCATCGTAAAAAGAAAGCAAGAGAGAGTCTAAAGCGCGCGCGATCAGCCCCTTCTTTCAGAATTCTCTTAATTGAGACTTCATGTAAGCTAATCTAAGCGTCCATAACAGTCTTTCAAAAACTCGTAATGATTGCAACCCTAACATGCGCCTTCTGGCACGAAGAAGCGTTGGCGGAATGGTCTGTTACCAAACATTTTCTGCCACCTCTTCTCCCAATCCCCGCCTCCATGTTAAAAAGTCACGGCCGGGAACATGTCACAAAGCAAGGGAAGCGCGCGAAGCATAGCCCTTAAGGATTTACTTCTTTAGGAGACCTGAGGCGAGGGGGAGACGGAGCGGGGATGAAAAATACTACACGCGCGCGAAGGGGTTGGGCTTAATTTGCGTTTGCGCACGTGATCTACGTGAGTAGCAGGTGTCTGTAAGTCCTGTCAAGAGAGCATATAGATTCGGTACAGGAAATGGTTGACACAAAGACAAGATGTCAGAGGTGAGAAAAGTTGGCGACCAAATCCAGTAAGGCATGCTGAAAAAAATTACGTAACTGAACCTGTGCCGTGTGTGGTGTACCGCAAGTATTATCATTGACTAAACAGTTGTCTCGAGCACTGTGATTGGTTCAATGGATCTTCTAAATTTCGTGCCGTGACCGTGCCGTGTCATTTCACGGCTTCCTAATCTTTGAAGTACCTTGCGTCCCTCCAGTCGTACGTGTACTGGTCTAATAGGCATCATGAAGCTATTGGAGTACTAGGCACCTGACAAGGAGGGGGTGTGGGTGTCTACTATACATTAGATTACCATCTGGGGTGGGGTGGGGGAAGGGAGGGGTGATACTTTAGTCGCTTTATGCATGATGCAGACCAGAATGATGGATATGATGATGATGAACAGATGATAATGATGATTAATGATATTTAGTTTTTAAGGCATATTGGGATGATTTGTCTTGATCCAGATTTAACACCAAGCCGAGTTCATGAATGATCATCATCTCAAACATCATCCAGTTATCATCGCACAGTTCAAACCAGAAGCGGTGGATCAGGCTGTGAACATCTGTCTCAAGACGGCAGCCGTATTTTGCCACTCATATTCATATTCTATTCCAAAACCAAGGAATCCTGTTTCCCAGGCAACAGATCCGTACCATTAGCACCTCGCGCTCGGATTACTGATCTCTTAGACGTGTGTTTTAGATTAAAACGTATTAACTTGTCTGGTATTGTTCCGCTGGTTCCGCGATAATCTGATAACACACTTTTTTGAACTTTAATTTCTTGAATAACAAAAAAAAAAAAA